TCTCGCATACCTATACACTCTGAGTACACATATAGGTATGTAATCTCGTCTGTTGCGAGAGCACGAACGAATGCCCATGCAAAGAGCGCGTATAGTATACATATATTATAAGAATACACGTGGAGTATATCTGTGTAAAATCTTATCTGTCGCGAGAACGGCTGTAAATGCTCACCCACAAAAGTGCCCAACGCGCCATAAGAAGTTTTCACTTCAAAAATTGTTTGTTCTGATATTTTTGATAAAGGTATTAACTTTCTAGTAAGTAACGTTTAGTCCGACCACCAGCGTGGCTCCCGCATACATTTCAAGGTCTCTACGGTAACTAAGTGTTACGTCATGTGTTTTGGGTTGGTAACTATAAATTTCTTATTACTAGGCAGAAAACTAGTTTGTTATTAAGTTATTAACAATTTTATTGCAACATTACACAATTTTCTTATTTCCAGCATTTCATTGAAATATAAGTCAAATTAAGTGGCACTAATCGATTCTACAGAAAAATTATACAAACAACATGCTAACTTCTCTCAACTTAGTGATTGTTATAACTATTATTATAATTATTATAATTATAAACAGAAAAAAATAAGTTGAACGCCAATAAGTGCTCATGCTTAAAATTCACGCAACCTCAGTAAACTGCGAACATGATCTTTTATATTATTCAATATATTAATAAATTATAATCATCATTACCACTGTTATTAATTTTGTTAATTTTATTATTTATGTTATTGTGATATAAATATTATAAATAAAAAAGAAGGATTTTTTTTATTAATATTTCTGAATACAGTTGGTTACATATCTCATTTTAACTATGCTTAGAAAGACAGTTTTAAAGATATTCAGGAAGCTATTTTGAGAATGACACATACGAAAACATGCAGAAGACAATTTCTTTCATTTACATCCACAATGTCTTGTTCAACATGTTTTACAGTTGCAATTTGGCACAAGTTCATCTGTAAGTCGATAGAACACTAAGACTCTCTTTGGCAATAGGTTGCCTCCTTCTAACACATTGCAAGGGATATAGTTCTATGCGATTGACTTGATACGAATTAATTTGTTGCAATGTTACGTATAAAGCTCTATATGTTTATAGACATATATGTATGTATATATATGTGTTGAATAAATAAATAACTTGAAGGTAGAGGATCTAAAATTGCAAGGGCATTTCCGTAGTGGTACGGGTAATAACGAAGTTTGTTAAAAGTTTAGCAGACACTCCTTCTTTTCACAACTTGGATATTGAACAAAGATATTGTTTTGCATTATCAATGGTACTTTTAACCTCTGTAATACCAAAAAAATACACAGTTTCTTATAACAATTTAAGGACTGGAAAACTTGCGTTTTTTTACCTCATAAGTCCAACTTATACCTCGCCTGAATGTCTTCGAATAACTTTTTGGTTTAGCTTCCAAAGCACCTGACTTCGTCGTCACTTTCATTGTATAATTCACTCGAGTTAAATGATATAAAGCTGGAAGTGCCAGACAGAGTTCATACTTTCTTGCCACTGTATGAACTGGAATAATTCATTTTCTGCAGCAGCTCCAATACTTCCTTAAAGTTACTGAAACATAGGTCAAAAATTTATTTTATTGTTCATATACAAGTAATAAACTAATTGTATCGAAAATAAATGACCATTAAACCATTCTCGGTAAATGTACTCGAGTAATGCAATAACAGAACCATCATATCTGTATTCGATGACAAAATTCTATGCCAACACCCCATAACTTCCCCATAGAACCTCATTGACCACCTAGGGCCCCTTCACCACTCCCCCACAAAATAAGGTAAAATTCTGTCTTATATTCCCTTACTTTTGCTTAGCTTACTTCTTGTCTAGAATCCCCACCACCTCCTACAGGCCCTTATAACCTTCCATAAGCTACTGGCCCCACATATCCCCCGCAGAATTTTTCTCTATTCCCTACTAACCCACACCATTACTGTAAAATGCTACTGACACTCTACTATACGGACCCTGATACCTACCTATGCACATAATTGTATACGCACTGTTTTATTTTAAAATTTATTTTAATAGCAAATTTCAATACCAGTTTATTTAAATTAATAGTAAACACAATTTTCTGGTAACACATGGGTAATTCTGTCGTAACTTGCTCAGATCAACTTAAAAAATTGTTCAAAAAGAAGTTGGTTTGAAAAAAAAAATTTTTTTTCATGGTATTTCCACTGTACACAACATCATTAACAAATACCTAAAGGGATTAAACTACAAGATTAACGAGTCAAAACTTATACGAAATTTTATAAAAGTCAGTTTTCAGCGATTTTTAATTAATTTTATCTCTTTCTAACAGCATAGCTAAGCTCCATCAACAGTTCGAGTATTCGTACTGAGCGTAAATAAGAGCTAGGGTCAAGACCTAAGCTGCTTCAATTAGGGCGTAAATATCGCAAATAATGTGATTTTGGCTAAAGTTTAGTATTTTTTTATAAGACCACTATAACTTTTTATTCGGGGCATAAAATTCAAAGATTTTTGTTTTAATCATTACAACTATGTTTTTGCTTTCATTTGAGCTTAGATAAAGCCACCTAATGGAGTGCACGTCCTGGCTACCAACGTTGGAAGTATTACCACCGTTTTTGCATTTATGTAGCGAAAAGAGGCCAATTAGACGAAACTCTGAGACACGTGTCTCGTCTGTTAGCCCAACAGTAATAAAAATAAAGTTCGGCTGGGATTAATTGCTCTAAAACGAAAAAAAGGCACTATGAGGTGAGGTAGGGTTGGAATGGAAAAGTTCGGAATGGAATTTTCAATGTTTGTAGTGCTCGTACGACTTATAGACGTATTACAATGACTTGTCGATCCATACTTTATTTGGAATGGAATAAAATGTTTGTACACACGAAATACGCAAATAGAAGAGCTTTGCTGTTTGAAACGTAACGAATTCTGGTACCACTGTCGTGAGGATTTGTTAACTTTAGTGCTATACTTTGAAAAGTGACCATTGGTTAGCATTTCTAATCCAAAAAGTTACTAGTTGGAACTGATTTTTGTTAAAACCGTTATCATGGAGTAAATATGCGTACGAAATGTATGCAGTGAAAACTCACTTATCTTCGTCAATTTTTGGTGGGGCTAAGGTACAAACCCTATCCCTAATAGCTTAAGTATATAATGCTTACACACCCAACTGGCAGATAAGCCTTAATTTTTACCGGTGAAAGTTTTGCTGAGTAAAATTGAATTGTGGACATGGGTTGGAACAGAAAGCTTGACTCAAGATGATCGATTATCTTAATGAAGAAATTAATACATCGGTCTTAGACAATATGTCAAGTAAAGTTGACAACATTTAACACAATTTAACGTTTTTAAAATTTTGGATTTCATAATGGCATACGAGTGTGAGTACCGGACACAATCTTAGCAAGTTACGGTAGAATTACTCACATACATCATTTACATGGTAAATGTATGCGGTTGTCCTTTAAGTTATTCTGACTTATATAACTTCTTATTGAGACACCTCACTGCTCTTCATTGGCCTCATACATTCTTAAGTATTAATTTTGTTTAGTATTAAGTATAGTTAGGCTTAAGCTAGCATGTTAAATGATCTAATTTACCTGCTAAAATGATACAAGTGGGCGTCAATTAAAATTTATACTCATCATTCTTTGTCAAGTCGTTGCATTTGTTAAGCCAGTAGAGATTCACTCAGCAAGAACTACGAGATAGATAGTAAGTCTGCTTTCGGTCGTCAAACAGCCTTTACCAAAGCGCGCAATAATTTATTACCCCAGTTATAGTGCCACGTTGTTTTAAAGTCGAACTCGCTTGACATCAAGGTTCATCATATTTATTACAGTTACATTTGTAATTAAAAGTTAATTGTTTTTTACAAATAAGTTTCTAAATTGTTCTTTCAAATAATTCAGTGATTATTTTAAATCAAGTGTTTTTTTACTTGTTATTGTTTCTAAATAAAACAAAACATTGGTGGTCGAGCAGAAATTTGACACGAGCACGTTCTGTGTAAAAGATGAGTAATGAGAAAAGCGGCCATCTTGAGTAGCGTTTTTAACGCCACACAGACGGCAAGGCGAGTTTGGAGCTTAGTTGTATTGCATTCATATGTTAATTATAGTCCCTACAGATTAGTGTTTGCATCGTGTTAAAATATCTGTTTCTCAATGTAATTTTCTTAAATTAAAACGTCAACACTGGACCATTCCTATCTCTGGTTCCAATGGTGCTGTCATAGAAATTGTGAAAGAAATAGCTTTAAAGTGAGACATAGGTTTCCATTTCCATTCAAAATATTAGAAGAAGCTAACTTCTTGACCCAAGTCTCCTCTTATCAATTGCCACCAGTCAATGTAAGACAAGCTTAAATTATTTAGATGATCTTCAGTTAGCTAATCCTTAATTTGTTAGTTCAAATAAGATCAATGTTATCATTTATGCCACTGTTTACACTAATATAGAAGAATAAGGGACTCAAAAAGATAGTCCAAGAGAACCGATTGCCACGTGCCTTTTTCGAGGTAGGATATTATCGGGCTCAATGGTGACCACTAGTATTTCTTTCACTAATCGAGCTTCGTTGCGATGTGCTAAAAATTCACAACTGACGTTTTTCTTATAGCGATTTTGAAAAGTTAAGGAGGTAGTCAATCCTAGATCTTAGCTCACCTTTAACGAAATAGCTTGACAACATTACTTTACCTTTACACAGTATACAGATAATTCAGGTTAATGTGTCATCAGTCTACTCTTTCAATTGGACGTTGTCATTGTTAATAAATCTCGTGAGGATTCTGGACTTCTTGTTTTATCAGTGATAAGTAATTAAGAGCGTACAGCTTAGATACTTTTTAAGCTTTCCAACTCGTACATGCAAGTTATGCAAGAGTTTTTAGAACTAAATTACATGATAGATATAGTGTAAGCTAGATCTGCCGCAAGTGGGAAAGTGTCGATTTTTGCTCTGTCATGGCGTAATCTGGCTGTCAGGTTCGACTCCTAACCGTCTCACCGTCTCCAATGGTTTCACTAAGGCTTCGTTTGGCTCCTTTCTTAATGATATATTTCGTACAGGATCTAATCTTTTGCCTTTCTTATCTAATCCTATTTCCATATGGAAAAGTCATGAATTCGTCTTTATGTTACTAATATATAAAGCAAAGTCGCTAAAACCGTTGTAATCACTAACTGCGAAAACTACTGAACCAATTTTGCTGAAATTTTGCACGATGATTCTTGAAACTTCCTAGATGGATTTGGTGTTGTTTTCCTCTATAAAAATTTAATAACAATAGCAATAAATAAGCTTAAAGTTTAACAAAAATACACCAGATTTTTACTTTAATTCAGTAGGATCTGCTAGGTGGCGTCAACATAAAATCGAGGCAACCTGAAACAGAATTGAATAACAATTGAATATAGTAGGCTTGAGCGTATAAAAAATTTCTGCAGTTGTCTACCGGCAGTTCATCGAGCTGCATCGAGCATGTAGATGATAGTCGTGAAACTGGGTATCTTGGTTACCGAGGGTACTTTTCTCTAATGGGCAAGTGACCTAGGTTTACATCCACTCTTGATCTCTACGATTGACGAGTACTACGAAACGAAAATTATTGTAACCGATAACGTCTCTGGCGGAATACCAGGAGATGTATCTAGCAAGAGCACAAGCTGCTCCACGACTTCAGGGTTGTGTGGCCATTTCATTATTTCGCCTGGTGCTGTCAGAGAATTTTTGGCTACAAATATAAGCCAGGGAAGACAGCCCTGAGGAGCATGGACAGCTGCAACGGCTTTCTTCTCAGTGGTTGTGTCCCCAACGGCATACCCACATTTTCCCGACTAACGATGTGCGATTGGTTATCCAGGAAACAATCCGAAGACAAGATATTCTTTCGTCAGCGGCGTACCTCCCTCGATCAAAGTTTCCGTTCACAGAGACTTCAAAGGTAAGAGTAAAGCTACCCGTAGCAAGCTCTTTATCATCTGAAATAATAATAAGGAATGGCTGGAAAAAAACCACCACTGGCCCTTTATAGGGCCACTATAAGTATTTACGTTCCCTGCTTGACTATCAATCTCATCAGTTCTCTAAATGGCCACTTAAGTTTAGAATACCTTGCCAACAAATACATTTCTACTACCAGTTCCGTAAGCAAATTGTCAACTAACAGACTATGTTAACTAAAGACGGCCACTATTAAACCAAGTCAGTCATTTACTGGCAGTCGTCATGAGTGGGGTTGTTCGTTGCAATGCTAGAAACCCTGGCGACCAATGACCCTATATTACCCTCTCAACTCTAAGAATTTAACCAGGAATCAACGATCCTCTCCAAGGTCTGCGCTGGACGAATTCAACAGCTATGAAGAAAAAGTAAACTTTAACAAACGGTACAGTCTCCAACGAGCAAGCATCACTGATGAATCTCCCCATCTTTGATCACCAAAACAACTGAGTCTGCAAAAAAAAAGTGCTTTAGACACCAACGTCTTTGACGTTATACCAGGAGACGTTGGGAAAGATCGCTACAACTAGCTCCAAAGCTTCAGACTTTGTCATTTTTTCTCTCAGTCTGGGGCTTCAATAGCAGGCCAGAGAAGATCACCCTGAGGTATTCAGGCAGTCACAATTGCTGTTAACTTTAATCAAGAAAGAGTTTACTTAAGAAGCTCACCGGTCTTTTTTAGGGCCATCGGACGTCGAACTATTTTATGAACAAATAAATTAGAACCAAACAAAGTTGATAAAAAACAGCCTTTAATGGTCACAAATGTCTTAAGCATGCCAAAAGTCGCAAGAGGTCAAATTGGAAAAAAAAATGTACCTAATAAATACAATTTCAGGCGTCAAGAAACAGACGCAAAAAATTTATCGAGATTGGAACCACAGCGTCAAAATCGACAAATAAAGAATCTATTACGTGAGAGATCAGCTTCTCATTGTACCCTCACAGTAATCTCTCAAATCTGTCAAGATTTAAATTCAGATTTTCAAATAAGTAGAGAACGTATTTGTGTTTTCGTGGCAAAAAAAATGTAGAGCTTAAGCTATAGGATTTTGTTTAGCTGGTAATAAAGTTGTTAGATAATAGAAAAAAAATTCTTTCTTAATATACAATTTTTGGGAGTTTAAAATCTTAACAGCTTTGAAAAATAGCTCTTTTCGTCAATTATATGGGAGAAACTGCAAATCAATGGCCCTTTATGGCCAACGATTATTTTATGGCATAAGTAACGCACGGTACTTTTCAGCATAATTAAATTTTTTTTTATTTATACAGCTTCCTATTTGGCCAAACTGTATAGAATTCGAACAAATATGTTTTTAATAGGAAGATTTTTGTTCTGAGAGTTGTCAGAAATATGTGTTGAATTTCTAACTGAGAACGTTTCACATTACATGTCAAAACATTATGATGTTCTATTTGGTAAGTCTTGGGCGAAGCCGAGACGAGGGGCCGCTAGTATGAAATATAGAGTTAATGTTTTGTAAAATATAAATTAGCAAACTGTCTAAAAAATTTCAATGTACAAAATGACAAATCATTTGAGCCTATGCTAATTTATCCATTAAACACTGTAACTTATGGGCTAAGTTTATTCACCTTTTTTGGCTTCTCGTGTTGTGAATCAGTTATTATTAAATTACAAGAAAAGTCACCTTCTAGTCTCTTCTGCTTTAAATAGTAAAATATATATAGATGAAGTTTTGTCCAGAGGTCATACTTTGATTGAAGCAAAGGAAAAGAGAGATTAATCAATTGGAGTAACATCATTGGGAGGCTTCTTAATGCTCAAGTCGTCAAAACATAGAGAAATATTACAGGGATTAATCATACCAATTTTAAATGATTCTTCTTTAACAGTAAAATAAATTTGTGTGTTTCAAATTTAGGTATTGTTTGGCTCTCTTTAGAGAGCGTATTTTGCCATCGTGTTTGCAAACTTCTTATCTGAGAAAGATGGTCAAAAGAAAAGATATTTTCTTTCATAGCTTATCTTTGACTTTTGATTGGATAGATTCAGTCATCGTGTTTATCAAAATTCTCTTACAGGCCTTGTGGGTCGTAAACTTATCTTGAAACTCTGCAGTGCATAAAAAAATATCAGATAAATAATAAGGCTAATTGGCTAAAATTCAATAACTTAACAAAATTAGACTACTTCAAAGGATTCATTTTAATCCCGAGGTGGAGTTAATCAAGTAACACAGCTTCGCTGATGCGTCTAAGCCAGCTTATGTTACTGTTCTCTACACTTATATTGTTTAAGGCAATAAGGTCAATGTAACATTTCATTTTCAAAATATCGTGATAGTTTCTCTCAAGGTTGTTAGCATACTAAGGCTCAAACTCTGCACTGCTCAGTTTTGACCACACTTACTTGACCACTTTCGTCAAATTTCAAGTTTACGCATTGATTCCATTCATTTGTGGTCTCATTCCAGAGATATTTTGCATTGGATACGTATCCAACTATCTTAATGCCGAAAGTTTATGGCTAATTGCTGAAGCAAAATCCATCAGCTTCCACCCCATGTGTCTTGGCATGATACTTCGGGTATACTAAGTCCTGCTGATATTGTTTCTCGGCATAGTTCAACGGTCTAAGTATATTCCATCAACTTGATCATCAGTATCCCGTCCTTGATACTGATTCTGTTAGTTTTAGGTTCTCTGAAGAGTCACTTTTGTGCTGTAGTTTAGAAAAGCACTTGAAAATAAGTGCTTCTTGTCTCTGATTTTTTTATAAATTGTTTGTTCGTCCTAAGAAGATAACACAGTTACTCTTTTTAAAAACCATTATTATTTTTTCTTGATTAAGTCTTCAACTAACATGCTTAGACCTTAAAAAAGCTGAGCTTGTACTAGTACATCTGCATTAAGAGGCTCATTTTTAATCGAAGCTAAAAGTTTTAAACGTAGCTAGGCTTCTACTTGATGACAAAATTAAGGAGGTAGTCCTAAGAGCAACATAATCATGTGTAACAGTATGAGTACCCACATTATATACCTGAAAATAGTGAAGGATCATGGTTAAAAAAGCTTCTTAGCTTCCTCTTAACGTTTTGTCTTGTAGAGAAGACATTGTTCTGACTTGTGCAGTGGTAAAAGAACCAATTTTATTAGTGCACACAGCGAACTTACGCATAGGTAGGTAAAACTTCTGGAATCTACGAATCTTGTTAACCAGCTATCAATTTTAAAAATCGATTGACATTTTAATGCTCCTGCTACTTTAAATTTAGGTGGGATCTGATGAGTAGCAGTAAAATCCACCAAACAGAAAGGTTGTAGGTATCTAGGTCTTAACATTGGTGAAGTATTTAACTTTGCTTTGCAAGGTAGAATTATGTTGAAGTTCACGACCAATTTCCCTTTGACAAATGATTCTTAAACCTGCATTGTTTGACGATTGCGTAACTATTGAATTTCAAACTTGTAACTACATTTCCTGAGAATAATTATTTAGATGTCAAGTATTTCTGTATGCGGGGAAAGAACTTCACTTCACATTTATCTCAGAGTTTTTGGTGTAAGTTGTCTCATGAATATTTTAGTGATTTTCAGAAATGAGATCCCCTCATCCGGTTGTTGATCACTGGCAAGGATATTAGAGATGTTCCCAAGCTCCAACTGGGAAGTGAGAATTGTGAGGGTTAAAATCGCGAAAACTAGTTTTATTAGACCTATTACCAAGTAAATTATGTTTTCAACAAACAATAATAAGACCTACAAAAATGCTTTTTTATTTTTATTTTTGCCTTATTAAAATGCATTCAATTAAATAATCTGATTTGACGTGTCTGATTGTATAGTGGTACAGGCAAGTGACAAAAATTATAATTCACAAACATACAAGCTGACAAATTTGTTTTGTATCAATAATAATTAAAAGTATTGTTACAAATTAAAGACATTTAAGCTGTAATCATTTTACTATCGAGAAAATTTGAGTTATTATACCACTCAACATCTACTTGAAAAATAAAATATGATTTGATAACATATTGTTACAAGCCTTTTTAAGTTAACAGTAATTACAATCTTGAGTTCCATTTCCTCTTGACGTTTCAAAAAAAATATCTGTATGGTACCCAGAAATTGTAATAACTTTTAAAACTTTTTCACTCCCTGAGTTGTAGCCTCATTATACTTATTTCAAATTTTATTACTTATTTTCAACGGTTTGTAAATAACTCATGAGTCTTCAATACACAGATATTTTTAATACTATTGTGTTAATTGATAAACAATTCCAATTGCAAATACGGAACCTAGAAGTGGTTCAGCTGCGTACAAAGAAAAAAAAATTATTATTTACTGACATTCTTAGAAAATTAAGAATAGCGATATTATTTTGTACTTACATTGTTATCAATTTTGAAAAACTTGTCAGTAGGTAACTAACTAGTTCCTTATTCTTTCTCTTCAAAATGCTACTCAAATAAATTCCTGTGACCTTTTCATCACACAGTTGATAATGTGCACCTTATTAAGAAAATCACTTTAAAATCGGATCCATTCTGCCCTAGATTTACTATTATAGATTATTTTGTAAGCTCTTAGCTTGAATAAAACTAGTCCTTAAAAATGAACAGAAGATTTGAAAAAAGATTATAGGATTTCTAAGGTTATCAGGCAATTAAGTGCTTACTTAAGTATTTGCTTCTCCAGCTGCATAGCCATATCAAATTTATTACTCCTAGATATTCTGATACATCTTTACAACAGTATAGTCAACGTGATTATGACATGGATACAACTTCACAGTGTTAACTCCCTCACATCTTACCTACTAGGCTTAAATGTGATTTAGAAGCGTTGTGTGCTTAAGCAACCACACTAGTGCCCACCAACCCTTTTGGGTGCTTCAGAACATATTATTTATAACCTCTCATTTCAAAGCCTACAGCTCTAAAACACAAATTCTAGTATTATTTGATTAGAAAAAATATACTCAACAGGCTGTTTTAATGTGTTTTTAGAAGACAATAAAAATAACACTTAATAAAAATACAAATAATTTACGTTAACCAAAGTATTTTTAATTATGTAAGTTAAAAAACTATACGCACTTTAAAAAAAATATATACATAAAAAAAAAAAACGCACAGAAACTCCATATTTTGCAATTTATTGCACATCATGTAAATGATATTTTAAGAATATCTTGTAATTCAGAGAGGCACCTTTCTTTAAACAAGTGAACAGGCATTGAACCTCTATGTCATAATTCCTCATCCTATGATTTTGTCATTATTTTTGTTTACTTGATTATATAAAGAATAAAAAATATATTTTTAAAAATCGTGTAGAATAAAAAATTATTTAATGAAAATGACGATTGCCGTCATTTGTTTCTTTTAAGAAGTTATTTTAAAAAGCCAAGATAAAAAAAAAACAAATACAAAATTTTGCATATAGTTTTAAATTGATCAATAAACATATGTTCTCTTTTTTCACACCCAAAATAATTTTTCTATTTTTCTGAAAAATTTTTGTAACGCAGTGATGGATTAATAAATCCCGTCATAAAACTTTTTTAAACTCACCGTAATATGTAAATTCATAGTACAAATCTAAATACTCTTAGAAATAAAAATATCACGAAATATTTTTAATACAGTAAGAGATCTAGTAGATTAATTTGTAATATAAAACGTCCAATGACAGTTGGTTAATAATTAAAATAACGTCCAATGATGGTACTGTCAAATTTTGTATTTATTAGAAAAAAAAAATGACGTTTCGGTCGTTTGGACAATGTCGTGGCCCTCATCAGGTACAAAAATCTATGAGTAATAAAAAATTCTTTACAATACAAACTTTAATAAGCACAGTAAACGCAAATTAAGTAAAGTGTATAAAATACCTCTGACTCTTACGAAGGGGATGTAAAATCATAATGTAGTCAGAGTTGTAAATCTTGTTGTTTTTATACCTTGAACATGTACAAATGACACAATATACGCACACAATACAATAAAATAAGAATCGCAAGCAGTTCCTTGTGAGACATACGTAAAGAGATCATGTTTTCCTAATACTGTAAATGAAAAGGGCCCTAAAATTACGAACATCAAGTTAGCCTCGATTTTTAATTTACTTAACGAGAGACTTGTAACAATTTTTAAATTTTTCTGTATCTTGTTGTCTATTAATATTTTTTGTATATCTGGGTTCAGTGAATAAGTACATCGTCGAGTGGCTATATACTCAAAGGCTTATTTATTCAATGCAGTTCTACAATGCGCTAACACAGGTGACTTCTTACTCGTGTACTTGCTCGCGACATACTGCTCCCATGTACGCACTTGCTCAGCCTACCTGTCTATTCACTCACACTGTCGTTACACATATAGCCCACACTTACACAGCTTGCTCAATAGCAGAGACCCAACATTTCCCCCTGTAAAAAATGGCTACTCTACGCTTGATACCATTTAGGAGGTTTACCATTTCTTTTGGATCTTAAACTTGGCGTATGCGCGTTTCCATCATTTATATTATTACTTCTTATTTGCTTCGCTGACCTTGGAAGAAATTTCGCAGGAACGCTTGACTTCACAACTTTTTCAATTTCCATCTGTTCCTCAAGAGGCACATAATAATCAAAATCTTTACTAGGCTCAGCACATTCACATCAATTCATTTGATCAACATGTCACACCCAAACTCGGCCATCATCCAACTGAATCTTATAATGCAATTTGCCTTGTATATCAATTACTTTTCCAAAAAACCATTTACTTTTACCAACGTAATCTCGTACCATCACTTTTTGATTTAATATTAACTTTTTAACATTTAAATTTGTATTTACACGGATTTTATTACCTATTTCTTTAGCATCCCTAAACAAATTCAATTTGGTACGGATCTTCCTCCCCAAAAATAGTTCCGCTGGTGATTCGCCCGTCGTACAGTGTGGCATGCTTCTGTATTGCATTAATATCATTCCAATGTCGCTTTTAATATTATGTACATCATTTAATTTTCGCAGCGCATTTTTAATAGTCTGAACATAACGCTCTGCCTGGCCATTTGTAGCCTAATGAAAAGGTGCTGAAAACTTCTGCACAATACCTCGGTCTCTTAAATAAGCTGAAAATTTATCAGAAACAAAAGTTCTGCCATTATCCGAAACCAAAATTTTTGGAAAGCTGAATTGTGCAAAAATCTCATCGCACTTACAAATGGTAGTTTCTGTCAACATATTTTTCACTACGTGTATTCCAGGCCATTTCGAATGTGCATCAATTAATATAAGAAAAATCGAATTGAAAAATGGGCCAGCAAAGTCAATGTGTACCCTATCAAAGGGTTCTGAAACAGGCTCCTTTACATGTGTTACTACCCTGGTAGGATTATTTCTAACTGACAAACATAATTTACACGAATTCACGAGTTTTTCTATATCCCCATCAATACCTGGCCACCAGCAATGTCCCCTAGCTAAATTTTTCATTTTTACGATACCGAAATGACCCGTGTGCAATTCTCTCAAAATCTGAGCACGCAACTTTTCAGGAATTACAATTTCATGAGCACGCACTAACAAACCATTCTCAATTGACAATTCACTTGGATCTACATTCCAGATATCTTTTTTATTTAAAAATTTACCTGCATTCAGACTATCAATTATAAATTTGAATTTAATGTCATTATCTACAATGTTACGAATATTAAAAACATCGATTGACAACACATTTAAAGCTTCCAAGTAAAATCTATCAACAATATCGCAACTAATATCACAGTCATTAACAGGTAATCTAGAATGACAGTCAGCATTACAATTCTGCTCTGATCTTCTGTATTTAATAGTATAATTAAAACCACGCAAAAACAAAGCGTAATGCTGCGTACGCATTGCACTGTAAGTAGGTAAAGATTTGTCCGGATTAAAAATTTGAACTAATGGACAATTATCACAGATCAAAGTAAACGTGTGTCCGTATTGATGTTATTTCTAAATTGCAAAAATAATCACATAAGCCTCCCGATCTATCTGACTGATAATACAGCACCAACACCTCTCGGGCTCGCATCAGTGGCCAGTACTAATGGCAATTTCGAATCAAAGTACATTAAACAGTGATCTTGCGTAAAAATTTTTTTTAACTGCATCAAACACTTTCTGACATTCATCTGTCCACTTGTACTTCTTATCATTACTCAACAAATTATACAATGGATGTAATGAGCTCGCGATGTCTTTCATGAAATGATTATAATAGTTTATCATCCCTATGAATAAACGCAATTCTCCAACGTTTGCAGGTGGTGGCATATCAAGCACTGCCTTGAACTTTTCAGGATCTTTATGTAAACCCATCTCATTAAGAACGAAGCCGCAATAAATAATTCTTTCTTCAAAGAAAGTGGATTTTTCCCAACTGATTTTTATATTGTGCATGTCGAGAATTTGGAAAACCGTATGTATTAATTTAATAAATTTATTTAATGTACGTGCAGCCAACAACAAATCATCCTCGGATACTTTCACACCCTTAATTTTACCGAACAAAGACCTCATCTATTCTTGCCAAATCGCGGGTGCTGCAGCAATGCCAAACATCATTCACCATACCCTGTATAAACCGCATTGTGTACTTATCGTAAGTATGTCGGCTGTAGTCTAATCGACGGGTAATTGTAAATACGCTTGAGTACAATCAATTTTTGCGAAAAACCTACAACCAGCCAGATCAACAAACAGCTCGTCAGTCGTCGGAAGTGGATACTTGTTTACCATTAGTTGCGAATTCACGGTAACACTATAATCTCCACAGATCCGTACGGTGCCATTGCTCTTGAGTATAGGTACGATCGGAGTAGCATAAGGTGATAAGCTAACGCGCTCCAAAACTCCCCCCTTCTCTAAAGACTCCAAGGCTGCATCGACTAATGGTATGAGTCGAAATGGCACGCTTCTTGACTTGACGAAAACTGGCTTGGCGTCAGGCTCCATAGTTAAAGTCACAGCTCCTAATCCTAAAATTGGTGAAAAATCTTGCCGTATCACATTCTTGTATTTATGTTTTAAATCATTAACAAACATGTCTTTATCCGGCTTTTCATTCTCGCAAGTATCTTCAACCGACAAAATCAAAGTAAACAAACTTTGAGCTCCGCGACTTTGTATATACGCTCTAATCCATTCGCAACCACACAAAGGCATACGATTCACATCAGTTAAATACAATTTTAAATAGAACTCTACATTCTCAAACAAAACACAAACGTTTATAAAACCTCGCACACATACATTTGACTTACAACAGGTGACTAGTTGTAGCGATGATTTATAAACCCTCTCTCCTGGGAACAACTGCTTGGCTCTCTCGTAAAACATAATAGAAACCGCTGCTCCCATGTCGACCTCGAAATTTACCTCGGTGTTGTTTACATTCAGCCCTCTCACGAACTTCTCTCTATTTTGAAAAACTTCCACAGAAAATACGTTAAGTATATCAACTACCTCGACTTGAGAATCCTCTTCAATTTGATGAATTTGCCTCGGTGTATTTCCTTTCTGCATACAGATCTTCTCAAGATGTCCCTGCTTTTTGCAAGCATTGCATATGATATTTTTGGGCAATGCGCAAACATTCGCCTTGTGATTTGCATTACCACAACAATAACAGAGCATTTTCTTAGAATCTGTATCCTTCGTTGTGTTAAACTGCTTACTAGACTTCTTATAAATTTTCTTCTTCCCATGTACTGTATTTACCGCTGCGTGTGTGTTTTCTCCTCGTAGTTGTGTAGTTTCTTTCTCACACAGCTCCGTAGCATTAGCTATTTGTAAAGCTTTCTCGAACGTTTGGTCCTTCGTTTCGAGCAATCGATTCTGTATTCTTTAATTACTCAGACCATAAACGAACTGATTTCGTAATGCTTTCTGTATGAAGTCCCCAAATCCACAGCTCGCACCAAGCTTCTTCAAAGCCATAGCAAAGTCTTGTACAGAATCTCCAAGCTGCTGCTTCCTGCAATTGAACTTGAAATTTTCAGCAATCTCTAACGTCACCGAGACATACATTTCTTTTAGCTTATCGGTCAACTTCTAGTACTTCTTTGTTGACACCGTCGCATCACCAAATGTATCGCACAACACATCGTTAGCCTTTTCTCCCACGTAATGAAGCAAGTAGGTAGCTTTCAATTTATCGTCCGTAACTTTCATGATGGCTAAAGCACCTTCGAATCTTTGCAGCCATCTCTCCCATTTCGACTCACCCGGCACAAAGACTGGTATTGTAAAATTTGCGCCAAATGTAGCCATTTTACTTGATATTTTCTCGACTTTCTCGTCACTGTCGGTTGACTGCTCTTCCTTTATCGATGTGTTTTCGTACTCCACATCGATATCATTCTCTGTAGAGTTGGAAAAAAGCATCTTGAGATACTCAATTTTGTAAACGTAACTCGCACTTAACCGTCGACGAGAATTCAAACGTAACTTTTCACTTCTTTCTACCGTCCTCATCGCCAATTGTTGTATATTTGGGTTCAGTGAATAAGTACATCGTCGAGTGGCTATATACTCAAAGGCTTATATATTCAATGTAGTAATACAATGCGCTAACACAGGTGACTTCTTACTCGTGTACTTGCTCGCGACATACTACTCCCACGTACGCACTCGCTCGGCCTACCTGTCTATTCACTCACACTGTTGTTACACACATAGCCCACACCTACACAGCTTGCTTAATAGCACAGACCCAACAGTATTATTATTGAAATGATGTATATTTAACATTTCGAAAGCCAGGTGCTTTTTATAATTCTTTTCTGTATCTAAAATTTTTATTTCATCAACATTAAAGTTGTGTGTAAGGTCCATGCTATGCTGTAAAAGTACAGACGTATACTTTTCTTATATCTATGTCTCTTTTATGTTCTGCCACTTTTAATTTTACAGCTCTCAATGTTCGACTTACATAACAGCAGTTGCGATTCGCACATGGTCTAAGGTAAACGAAATTATTTTTATCGAGTGGCTCAACCGATGTAACCACATCTTTTTCAAGTGAAAAGATCGAATTCAATTAATTGTTTAAACTGTATACAAGATCAATGTGAAGCTTCTTACAATAATGATTCACGTAACAAGTGCGGAAAAGACGATCTCCCGCACAAGTAGTGATTGACTCCCACGAGTGCCGGAGTTGACGGGAATGAGTATCAGTTAAGCACATGAGTGCATGGCACGAGTGTGATCGCAAGGTACGAGTTACCGTTACCAGCCACGAGTGCGAGTCTATCACACGAGTGCGGAAAATTGTCAATGATACATATAGAAAAGTTTTTTTTTTTTTTTTTTTATCAGTCCTGAGCATTTAAATAAGTTTTTTTTATGAACATCTTTATTAAACTTATTTAATTTATCAAAAATACCGTATTGATTCCACTTGCTTACAAAATTTTTGGTATCTCTATTTAATTGCTTTAAAGAATTATTTTCTACCTGCAAATAATATTTATCATCACTTAATAATTCTTCTACTTCATTAATGAAAGATTCAATTTAGAAAGGAGGCTAACTTGGTGTACGTAATTTTAGGGCCCTTTTCGTTTACGGTATTAGGAAAACATAATCTCTTTACGTATGTCTCACAAGAAACTGCTTGCGATTCTTATTTGATTGTATTGTATGCGTATATTATGTCATTTGTATATGTACAAGGTATAAAAGCAACAAAACTTAAAACTCTGACTACATTACGATTTTACATCCCTTTCGTAAGAGTCAGAGGTGTATTATACACTTTACTTAATTTGCGTTTATTGTATTTATCAAACTTTGTATTGTAAAGAATTCTTTATTACTCATAGATTTTTGTACCTGATGAGGGCCGAGACATTGTACAAACGACTGCAACGTTGTTTTGTTTTTTACTAAATACAAAGTTTGACAGTTCCACAATTGGACCTTATTTTAATCATAAACCAACAGTCATTGGACGTCTTATATTACAAATTATTTTACTGGATCTCCTACTGTACTAAAAATATTTCGTGATGTTTTTATATCTAAGAGTCTTTAGATATGTACTAAAAATTTACATATTACAGTGAGTTTAAAAGAGTTTCTTAACGGGATTTTTAAATCAATCACTGCGTTACAAAAATTTTTCAGAAAAGTAGAAAAATTAGTTTGGGAGTAAAAAAAGAACATATGTTTATTGATCAATTTAAAAAATATGTACAACATTTTTTATTTAGTTGGTCGTCGGTTTGTTTTTTAATAAATATAAAGTTTGACAGTATGACCAGTGAACATTATTTTAGTTAAAATAATTAGTGTGACTGTTAACATTAGAATGGAAAACACACACAAAAAAAAAAAAAAAATAGAAAGTAGATATTACTACTGTCATAACTTTTTCGATAGGAAGGTTTACGTTGGTTGACTAATAAGTCTTAGCCATTCAATGAAAATAAAGTTTAAAAATTTTTTTAGTTCATCCTTTAACAATCTCATTTTTAATATTGGTGTTCTAATTTAATAAAACCATCTTTAAAGTCAATTTAATCTTGTTGACAGACGAAATAAAGTTTGCCTTTTCTGAAGTTCAATTACCTAGTGCAATCCAGTGTTTTAACTGTGATGAGCTTTGTAAAGTGTAACAATTTTTTAAAATCCTATCTATAATAACTTATTATAAGGTTTACTGAAATTTTTACAATGAAAATCCAATATTTTGATCTGGTGTTAACTATCCTGGAACCCACCTCTTATATAACTTGTAAAAGACCAAAATATACGTAAATTATAACCTGCATATTCTAAAAAATATGTTTACAGCCTTAGCCTTCTTAAATTACTTTAATCTGACATCTTTAAGCACTATACAATGGATGTTTTCAGTCAGCTCTGAAGTGTTCATCTCTACGGGCATTCAGAGTAAGGATTAGTGCTATTTTCCGTGTATGTTATTTCAACACAGCAACCCACCTTTTAATAATTTAATATGAAGGTGCAGAGTCTTCTTAAGCATTGTCTATTTTGTTTTGAATTTCTCCAGATATAAAGCATTTTAAATATAAATATCTGATTACTGCTTTACTTTACAAGCCCTGAATTTTCAGGAAAACTTTAAAGCTGTTTTATTAAAAGTGTTAAGACTTAAGAACTAATCAAGTTACTTAACTGTTTCTAAGGTTACAAGTTTTTCTAGAGTGAAAATATACGATGCTAGAGTTTAACTGGCCTGGTGGGGCTATCTTTATGTTAGACTCATGATTTACTAGCCAACCATGAATAAATATAGTGGTACTACCATCTCTTTTTTTACTAAGTGTTAATTTTGATAGATGCTTCCATAGCAGAACAATACACATGGCACACCCTAGCATATCCCGGCCAAGATTCTAAGCAATCAGAGTTAACTGTGCACTGTTCTTACGATTACGAGAAGTTTTTTATAGCTGACGCTAGGTCAAAGGCAGCTTGTGTTACTAACTGGTTGCAAGAATATGACCTTGCACAGAACATCTATAGGATTAGTAATTCAACTGTATGAAGTCTTATAATCAAAATAATCAACCTATAATTGAAGAATTTTTTTGTAGCTGGCCATATAAAAAGTCTGTATAATCTATTAATTTTATGGCATGGATGGTAGAGTTTGATTTATTAAATTCATAATCTAAATGTTAAAGCTTCCGTACGAACTTATAATAAGGAAGTATAATAAATGAATTAAAAATATCTACATAGAGTATAGCGAGGCCCCTGAGCTGGGGGACAATGTAGTACGAGCAGTGCGGTAGTGTAATTACGTTAGACAAAATTTATTGTAAACATATCCTTGGAACGCAGAGGCTATTGTAAGCTCGCTAAATGTAAGAAGTTTTATTTAAAAAAATTACAGTGGATTTTATAATGTAAAGTTGCACGTTACTACGAGTGTAAGCAAAGAAATATTATTGGACTAAAGGCCAGTTTAAAATAGCTATTGAACATACTTTCATTCAAGTACTAAGTCAAACCATTTTGTTTGTAACAAACCACCAGGCTAAGTTATCAATAGAATTTATAGTTTATATGCGACTGTCGTTAATCAAATAAAGAAGGTCAAGAGCAAGACCACAATTATTACATCTGCACAGAACTGTAAAAATTTGATTGTTAAAAAAAAATAAGATTATTAAAAAAAGCTTAGGAATGCTGTAATAGAGAATTGTTACAACTAAAAAAGGTAACAAACAGAAATATCAAGGCACACAAATAAATAACCTACATCTTTTAGATTCATTACAAACTATTTGTTTAAAAGATGTTACGCCGAATACAGTGTCAAACTTGTCAAATATTTATTGTCTGAAAAATATTTACTTCTTTTCTTCATTGTTTCCATGATTAATATAATCTTATTAAAGTATAATATGTGCATTAAGACAAAAAGCATTAATGGCCTAAATATTAGTGTGCTAGCCTCCTCTTCGAAGAAATTCAAGGGATCGTAGACTTGAATCCCATCTAAAATTATCAAAGTTTCTTTTCTTGGGCTTTTTTTTGATGGAATAAAATCAAGATACCAAAACACCATGGAAAAAAACTAGTACTATTACTACTACTCCCACCACTACTATTACTACCATTACTATTACTAACCCTGGCGGAGATTTTTTAGTTAGTTTCTCCATACCAGGCGTTTTCCCGAATGGTGGATAGGAGCACCCTCTTAATATCTGAAGAGAAACCAGGCAATTAGGGCGGCTATTCGTGGTGGCGGTAGAGGGCTGGCATCAGGAGGCGTGCGTGGTATTGGCAGGTGTATTTGTATCCATGGAGACGTGAGTCTTCTGCTTTTTGCTTTAATTGGTGTAGATGCGTGGGCCAGTTTTGCTTATGCTCTTTGCTTTTTGCTTTCTGCTGCCACCGTGAGAGATGCCGGAATGCTCGAGTCAGCCAACAAAAACTAGCACCAGTCGTGAATAGCAGTAAGCGACGGTTATAACATTCTTTTTAGATACAGGCAATACACCAACACTAAACAAATATTGGTATACCTACAGGCTGCTGCTGGT